CTGTGTTTGAGTCCCTTTCCATGATGCTCTTCTGTCTGAGCTGAACTAGAACACTCCTTACTGCCAGTTCTGAGTGTTCTCCTTCAAGGCTTGTCCCGTGCAGCAGGATGGAAACCACCTGGAGGATGCACTGACTGGCTGCAGGCTGCAAAACCTTGCTGCTACACCTGACATCATTCCCTGCTCTGGGGATCGGCCTCTTTGGCATCTGCAAGCTGATGTGCACGTTCCTACCTCTTGTGCTCCTCTTCTTCATCAACAGCAGTGGCTCTTGGTATTGGGATGACACCAGTGGCTGATACCCAGCCCTGGTGGGGGGGTATCAACAAGCAGGGACCCCAAATACCACCCTGACATTCAGCCACTGGTCACAGAGCTCACACTCCTTGGGGCTCATTCTTTCCTTCTGTATCCACTCCCCGTTAGCAGAAGTTGGATATTTAGATGAAAGTCGCTGTTCCAAACCCAGGCGCCCCAGAATTACAGATCAACAACTACAAGGTAATTTGTGCAATTTGGATTTGGGCTCTTCCAGGCCTGCATTCCAACGGCAAGGGTTTGATCACACCCTTGGCCACTGCACTCTGTATCTGACTGCTTTGTAAGAGTCCTCGTGTGCCTCTTGGAAATAAATCTGCCCAGTTTTGAAATTCTGAAGCAATATTATTTCATCTCTTGCCAAGAGTGGATTGGAAAATGATAAGAGTCTTTCAGGCTACGTAACAGATATTTTGGGAGTTTTGTCTTACTTTTTTCCCCTGACATTTTTATTCCTTCCATATGAAACACACACATATATCTATATATCTGTTATATATATATACACATATGTTAAAAGCTCCTTTTTGTGTTGAAGTAGACTGGGGAGAAAGAAGCTATTTTGTTAAGTGACATTTCCTAAATATTTTGGAAATCATAGCCTTCTTTACACATGCTTTTTTTCTTTTTTTTTTTCCTGACCAATTTCTCCTCTGGGTTGACCAAAATGAGAATTGCCATTTTGATCTGAGTGGATTTTCTGGGTGAAAAAAGTTGAAAATAAACATTTCCATAAGGGCTCCCCATGAAATCCTCGTTGTAGATCATTTCCACTCCTCCACCTCCTCCTGGCACTGCAAACACACACATTCCCAGTGGCTAGAGCTGGGAATGATCAACTGCAATTAATCTGGGCAGAAAATGAAGGGGTTGAGTTTTGATGTGATTTCCTCGTGCTCTGCTGGGCAGCAGCTCCTGTGGCTGGGAGCGGTCTGGGGCACCACCACCATCCCAGATCCTCAGCATTTTGGCTTCTCTCCCTTCCTCCTCTCCTGGTTTTGGTCCTCAGCCCCACATGCACTTGCTGAACGCACCTGTGAAGTGAATTATCTGTCCTGGTTTGGGCTGAATAAGCTGTAGACAAGGATGGTAGGGCTTGGTTTTATTTTTGGACCTCTTCTGTGGGCTTAACCCCCCCCCCCCCAGTCCCTGTGGGCCTGCTGCCAGCTCAGCCCATGGCACATTCCAGCACTTCCCAAGGTGCATGGACCTGCCAGGCCAAGGTCACCTCTGTGTCCCTCCTTGGCCACTGAGTGACCCCACAAATAATGTCTGCACTGTCTGCTGGAGCCTGAGGGTGACAGAGGCTTCAAAAGGCTTTCCACCCAGTGTTAGGTTTTTTTGAACTTCATAGAAATCGAGTGGATTGTAGGAAATTCAAGTTGCAACACAGCTGCTTGTTAGTAGAAAGGATGTTGGGTGGGTTTTTTTTTTTTGAAAGCAAAAGGTATTTCATTTGCACTCCGAAAAATGTCAATATTTTTTTCTGGAGGTCAGCAGCACCATTCCCAGCTTGGCATCCAGTGGAGTGGAGGCATCTGTACTCCAAGCATTTTGTACCAACACTCCCACAGTGTGTGACAAAGGGCACTGCTGGGGCTGGGTGCTCAGGGCAGCCCACACTGCTCTCCCTGGGGTGGAAAACAGCCTTGCCAGTGGCACACCAGGAGCTGCAGGGTACTGAGGAAGAGGAGGAGATATTTCTGAGCAGCTCTGGTGAACAGATCCCACAGTACCAACCCCACTTCTCCTGTCCACAGGATCCTTCCCCCCACAGGGCTGGGGATGAAAACCTGACCAGCTGCTGATACCCAGGAACCTGGTTTGTTCCCTAACAAGGGGATGCAGGTCCACTGATCCACCCTGGAAAGGCATTCCCCGAAGGGAATCCCCATCCTCTCGCTCCTGGCAGTTCCCTCTCTGGCTCCTGGCCAGGCCACCTGCATTTGAAACTCCATGGGACTTTGCTCGGGTTTCTGTGTTATTAATCCTCCCCAGAAGAAATCCCAGGCCTTTCTGGACCTCTTCCCTGTTTGCTAGGACAGCTGCCAGAGCTGTGCCGCTGCTTCATGTCAGCACAGGAGGCACTGCACAGCCCCTGTATTTCCAGAGGGCAAGGAGAGCTCAGCTCTGCCCGCAGAGGCTGCGGTCTGATGCTCTCTGCTGTGCTTGCCGGATACTGGGATGCTTTCTTGGCATAAACACTGAACAAAGCAGGTCAAAATCAAATCATCTGTCTAGGTAACCAGCAATCCAGATAAACACAGGCCTCTGTGCTCCTGGTGTGTCCCAGCCGTGCTCACAGAACGGTTAGGCAAGGATAGGCTGTAAGGAGGTGAAGGAGAAGGGGCTGTGCTGGCTCAGAGCATTGCAGGGCTCCCGGGGGCCACATGTGGCCAGCAGTGGCCGTAAGCACAGGCCATTTCCCTGCTTGGATTAGAATCCATATACAGTGCAGCCCCATTTAACACCTGATGACACGGGATCAGTGCTCCAAGGAGCGCTGCATGCGCATGCAGGAGGGGATGCTGATGGAGACGAGGTGTTGAACGATCCTGTGCAGTGCCCCTGGGCTGTTCTGCACCACTCCTGGCCTGTGCAGAGCCAGCACTGCCTGCCTGTAATGGGCAGGTGTGTGGCTCACCAGGCTTTGAAGCAGTTTTAGCAAGCTGCAGCAGTAAAAGTGCTGCACTTCACATGCTGATGGATATCTATTTCATTGGGTCTCAACCATGTCTCGTGGCAAGATCACAGTTTCTCATGGGTTTCGAGCAGAAGGGAGGAAATTCCAGTTTCCAGCGGAGAAGAACGAAGCAAATTCATGTAGTCACATGTTCACGTTAAACATAACAAACACCAGGAAAGAACTCTCCTTCAGCTGGTCCTCAGAGGCCACATTTCAAACAGAAGTACTCCCTGCAAGCATTCACGAGGGAGAAAGCAAACAGGGCTCTTGGGCTGGATGACCTGCTCCAGACCAGGACTGGTGGGTCCTCAGCAAAAAACTGCTGCCATGCACCATCTCATGCTTGAGCAGTCAGAAGCTGGCCTTAAGTCACCTTATTCCATCTATTTTAGGCTGGGAAGACTCAGTGCACTGAAGGAGAAACACCCTGGCTGGCAGTGGCAGCAAGGTAGGTGTATTCCTTACCGTGAGAGTAAATTTTATCCACCTCAGTGCAGATACCTGCAGTTTGGGTAAAATCCCACCCCACAGACCCTGGGGGCTGGGCAGGGAAGCCCTTGGGGAATGGGAGTTTGTAGGATGGGGTGAGCAGTGCTGTCTGCAAAAGTGCTGCAGACAGGAGCGAGAAGTCACGTTTCAGTGACAGAGCTTTGCTTTCCTTGCAAAATGCACGTACTATTGGCAGGAGGCAAAGAAAGAGCAGGGGTGGGTCAGATTCCCACTCCAGCTCCAGAGTGTTCCTCCTGGGAGATGCTGAAGGGCCCTGTGAGTTCATCTCTGCTCTGTTGCATTTACTGGACGCTTCTTCCCCCTGTTTATGCGGTAGAAACATCTGAAAATAATTTGTGCCTTGTTAAGCTCAGCGGACGGTCAGGGTTCTGCGTGCAATTTGGTCTCCACCTCAGCCAGGACTAGCTGGGGCTGCTCTGTGTTTGCTCATTAGCTGATGAGACGCTCGCTCGTGGTGAGCAGGGCTCTCTGGGGGGCTGCCTCAGACGTGTGGCTGCTGTTTGCCGTGCGTGGGCACACGCAGGGGTGGGTGCGGTGCCGATGAGCTCACCCTGCGCAGGGAGCGCCGGCCCCTGCAACAGCGGCTCTCCCGCTCCTCTGGATCGCGCAGGTCGGCGGGGAAGACGCAGTAGGATGGTAATGAACATCATCCTCCCAGTTATTACTAATATTGAAAGCATCTGGAGCTGTGGGTTGGGGACCTGCTCAAGAAGGATGCTGCAGGCCTCGCTGGAGCTCCAGCAAAGCTCTGCGTGACCGCAAAGCTCTGACCCGTGCTCTGGAGAGGATGGATGGGGAAATCTTCGGCAGCAATCCCAGGACAAAGACGAGGATGGCTGAGCAATCGAGGTGGGAGGATGCCCTCCAGAAAGGGGAAAATGATTAGGCTGGGAGGAAAGGATCAGCTTAGGGAAGGGATGATGCGCTAACCACATGGCTGAAGGAGGAGGTGTGAAGACTTGATGGGAAACACAGGACTAAATGTGGGGGAACGGGGCAAAGAGAAGATAAAGTGAATGAGCAAGAAAGACTGAGGGGACTGGTGGCATCACAACCCAGCGTGTGCGAGGCTCAGTGGGGAAGGTTCCCGCGAGGGGCAGCGGGGCCAGGGCTTGGCAGCTCAGCGGTGCCCAGCCAAGGGGATTCCCGGCGCAGGAATCGCCCGGGCACAGCGCTCCGGGGAAGCAGCGCTCCCACGCAGCCGCGGGCGCAGCCGGCGGGCCCGGGAGCTGAACCCCGCCACCCCAGCCCAGCGGAGGGGCCAAAGGGCGCTGCCCCCCGCGGGCCGCGGGGGAAGGCGGGGGCTCGGGACCGCGGGCGGGCCGGTGGCTTCCGCCCGGCGCGGCGCATTCCTACCCCGTGAGTCAGGGCGGCGCGGCGGGATGCGGCGTCCCGCGGCCCCGGGCGCTGGCAGCTCCCCGCCGGGACTCTCCCCGCCGAGCCGCGCTCGGGTCCCGGCTCCCATTTGCATGCCGAGGCTGTGAATGGCGTGCCCGCCCGGCCGGCCCCTGGCACGGGGGAGGAGTCTGCTCCGCGGGCCGAGCTCGGCGGCGCCGGTGCCTTAAGCCGCGCTGGGGGGGCGGCTCGAACCCGAGCGGCCGCTGCGCTTCGCCCGCCTGCACGGTGAGTGCGGGGCCGGGGGGGGAGATGAGCGGGGGGATGGCCGGGAGGGGCGTCCGACCGGGGCCGGTGCCTGCCCGGCGGAGGTACCGGGACCGCGCCGCCCCAGCCGGGCAGGGAGCGGCCCTGGTCGGCCCGCGGGGTGAGACCGCGGCCGGAGGCAGGTGCCGCCCCCGAGCCCTGTGTTTGGATGTTGGGAGCTCGGTGATCCCGGTGCTTTCGGCTGTAGGTGAAGGTGCGCGTTCCTGGCTTGTTTCAGCTGATCGGGTCCACCCCGTCTCCACGCGTTCCCACCCATCCCTCCCCTGACGCTGGCACCCGCGGTTTGGCAGCCGCTCTGGGAGATGATCTGCTGGAAAACGTACGGCTTTTTACCGTGTAAAGGTTAGTTTTCCTGCTGGATCGAGTCCCTGGACGGAGTTCTCACACTCTGCACTGCTGGCACGGAGCAGGGGATCGCAGCAGCCTGACGCGAGCAAGAGCAAAGCTTTTCAGGATTGCACCCTCAGTGCCAAGTCCTTTTGGGTTCCCCAGCGAGCGACCAGTCCTTCCCCGCATCGTGCCGCACACACACAGTTGGTCCCCGCAGTGCCGTGGTGCCTCTGGGACGTATTTTGCCTTGTGCTTTTCTCCAGTGTAACTCGGGAGAGGTGAGTGGCAGCACAGAGGAGTTTTGTCCGGTGCCTGTCCTTGTGCACGACTCGGTTCTGTGGCTGCTGTTTCTCTTGCAGGTTGGATTCGTGGCGGGGTGCACGGTGTTGGTCAGGGATGTCTCCAGGCCGGGTCTCAGGGCGAGCAGGAAGTTGTTTCCTTTCTTCCTGTTTTTGTCCCTGTGCCTGCTAATTTCCTCTGGGAAGAAAACTGCATTCTGCAGTAAAGGGAAAAAACAGTCACACGTAACGGGAAGGGACAAGGCAGCGAAGCCCAAGGTGCTTCTGAATGAATCATGGGACAAGGAAGGAGCACGGGGTGTTAACTGCAGTAGTGCTGATAGAGCAGCAAGGACTCATTGCTGCCTTTGTGCTCTGACCAAGGGGGTAAAAAGGGCCCGCTTGGGACAAGCTGGGGAGCAGAGCCTTGGAAGGAGAATGGGATTTCCACTCCAGTGGATGGATAGATGTTGCTCTCCAGCTCTTCCATCTCAGTGGCACGGGCTTTGCAGGAGGAGGTGATGACTCGTGTTAGATCGGTTGATACAGTTGGAAGACAGAGATGAACTTTCAGATACTTCCTTCAAGTTTTGATTGTTAAAAGGACTTTCTGAAAGGGCTCGTCTGCCTTTTTTTTCTTTAAGCCTCTGTTGCTGTAATTACAGCTATCAGCCCTCCCTCCTGCCACATCCCTCATGTCCTTAGATCCTCGTGGCTGCCACTGGGCAGCCCAGATCTGCACTGTCCATGTGTGGGGAGCCTGTGCCATTCCTGAGGTGGGACACTGCCAGCCTTCCAGGAGGTGCTGTGGGTTTGGAACAGGTCCCCAGCTCTGTTCTGGTCTCTGTGCCCCTCCCCAGGAAGGCAGCAGTGTGTCCGTGGTGTCCCTGCTTCTGTGCATTCCCATGAAAGGAGGTTAATGCTGTGCAGCGTAAAAGCAACTCCCACAAAACTAGTTCTGCTCTGGGACTTCCCATGACAGGCCTTTTTTTTTTTTTTTTTTTTTAAGCAATCCACTTGCAAGAGATCTGCCTACAAACTGGCTTTTCAGGTTCTGGGGAAAGCCATGGGCTGGTCCTGGTCTCGGGAATGTCTTTCTCTGTGCTGGATAGGCTTCAGCCAGGGGGATGAGCTTTGGATATGGGAGAGCTCTGCTCCCCTGCAGAGCAGAGCAGGCACCTCTTCTCCAGCAAGCTCATCCTTCTCATGGCCTGGTGCTGATGTGTCACCTCAGCCAGGAGTTATGTTCCTCGTCACTGGACTTGGCAGACGGCTCGTTTCACTTTCGTGGCGGGGACTGAACCGAGGCTGCAGCTGAGCGAGGTCGCCAGGCAGGAATAGGAATTCCTTTTGGGGTCATCAGTCCTGTTCCTCTGGAATCCAGCCCCGGAGAGTAGCCAGCAAGTCCCAACATGTTCCCTTGGGAGAGGCAGGGTCTGCCGAGAGTGGCGTGATAGGACAGTTTATTCTGGGCACAGAGCCCTCATGCTCAGATATAATTAGGAAAGGTTTGATTCCGTTCAGTGTGTCGGGTCTCAAGCACAGCCTGGTTAGTGCTGAAGGCCTGAGATGGGCAACATGACCAGGAGTACCAGCTTGTTTTCCTTTTCCATTCAGTGTATCCAGCAAAAGGTTTGGCAGAGCACCCCGTGTGCTGCTGGGGATGTGCCTGCCAAGTGGGACTGGCTGTGAGCTGAAGATCCTGATGTTTCTCTATCTGCAACTCCGGAGCTTTTATCCAGCAGAACAGTCTGTGATAAGATTCTTCCCTTGTGGTTGCTGCCTTTCTTCCTTAGCTGTCTCTGGAGGCTTTGGCATCCCATGGAGACCATGTGCCTTTCTCAGAGGTTCCACAGCATTAATTGTGACCCGACATGACACTTCTATTAATTGATGTTCCTGCAGCCACCAGCCTGTTGCCGGTATATGACCCATTTCAGTAGAAATACTTAAAACTCGAGGGTGGGTTCCTTCCTTAGCATTTTCCCTGATCTCAGACGTGGATTAGTTTCCTTTCTTTTCAGCAGAAGAGGTGCTGGGCTCGAAGTCTAACATTTATCATCATCTAGTTGGTATAAAAGGGACACGAAATGAGCAGGTCTCACTCTGTTACTGTGAGGTTGGCTCCCTGCGCTGGGTATGTATCTGTTGTAGTTTTAAGTAACCCACAGAATGCATGTGTTGCCTGCCTGCTCAGAAAGCTGTATTTTATCCTCTCTGCTGAGTGACAATGTCTCAGTGTGTGCTGTGGGTGCTGCAACTTGAATTTAGTGGGACTTGTGTCTGGCTGGTGGGTAAAACATCCCAGTGCTGCTGGAGGTTCTTCAGAGGAGGGGAAACCCTGGTGTCCACGGTCACACAGGCAGTTGTCTCCCCAGTGGTGGAGTTGTTTTAAGCTTTATGCCTGGTTGTTTCATTCTTTTTTTCCTCTTTTTTTTCCTGTTTATTTTTTGGTTCGTTCAGAACTAGCAGAAGAACCAGTTGAGCTGAATGGACTTCAGGACCTGTTGCTTACTCTGCTAATGTCCAGTAACACCCCTTTGAGAGGAAAAGCATTTCGAAGGGACAGTCCTAGCCCTGCAGCTGTTGGTCCCAGGAGGTTCAGTGGGCAGCAGGCAAGATTTAACCCTGGAAGGAAACGGATGTGTTAGGCAGCAGTTCCCATGGTGGTGCTGGCAGCTCTGTTTTCCATGTCCTTGGAGAACCCCAGACTGATTTGGTGTGTGATGTTTGCTCGTGCCATCCAGGCCGGTTTGCACAGAGTGCTGGAGACCCTCCCTCCAGTGCCCTGTGAGGCGGGCAGGGCTTGCCTGCCAACCTCTGTGTTTCCACAGGCAGGCTTGTCTGTGGCGTTGGGAAGTGAGGTTTCCACAGGGAGAAGTGGAAATTGCGTCTGTGCTGAGGTTGTCTGTTGTCATATCCTTGTTAGTTGAGCTTCAGGGATTTCCGACTCTTTGCTCCTGGTGTTGGTCCTGCTCATCCAGCTGCTGTCCAGGACCAGTTGATGCCCCCTTCAGATCACAGCCCTCATCCTGGTGTCAGTCCATGCTGCTGTAAGAATGAGGAAGTGGGATTTTTTTTTTTTTTTTTACTGTGTGTTGGGACGATGCCACAAGGAGCAAATTAGTAGCCGAGTTTTTGAACAAATCATCCAAACTATGGTCAAATCCTTTTGAATAACAAACAGTGGCTGTTTCCCACTTGGTGAAGGCAGAGAGCTTATTCTTCACATTAACAGCTGTCAGATCTCCTAAAGCTAGAGAGTGTATATTCCATTGCTTGTGGGCTCTGTTTGCTGCAGAGACAGCAAATGTCAGATTGACATAAGGCTTGTTCTTGCTGTAATTTCCTTTGGGTGCACTCTTCAGCTACGTAGATAAACAATTTATTTCTAATATAATTAAAGCTATTTTTTGCCCATCACAGGACTGTGATGATACAGACCTGAGCAGCGGATGTGCTCTCAAATTCTGGGGCCTTCAGCAACAAACAGACCTTGCCTTAGAAATCAGAGCATCTCTAAAGCACAGTGTTTATTAAAGGAAATGTAGTTTCTTCTCAGTGAACTAAGAGGTATCATTGCACAACACTTCCCTGGCACGGCACAGCCTTCCCAAGGGGAGAAGAGATAGCAGGACATGCCTGATCTTGCCTTTTCTGGAAAGCCTACCTTTGCCTCCTCCTCCCCTTCCTGTTTCCACTTCACTGAGAGCCAGCCCCTTGCTCTGCTGGTCAGCAGCAATCCCTGCTTTGAAGGTTTGCTTTCCTTTAAAAAAGGAACAATCCCTATGAGGTCATCCTGAAGCTGCACAGGACGCCGCTCTTACTGTTCTTCAGCTCTGGCACTTGCTTGGCTTTGGCTCAGTGAAAGTTAGAACAGCTTGAATTTTAAAATCTTGAGGGCTCAGACGGCGGGATTGACAAACAGAGCTTCCGAATTTCGGGAGTTACTGCCCTGTAGCAACCAGCACGTGTGAGGTAGGTTTCTCTGTTGCTCAAATTCAAAGGCTTGAAGTGAACTGAAGAAGACAGCAGACTGTGAGTGGTGCCAAAACGTGTAAGTGCTCCTTCTTTTCCTCTGGCTGCTCTGGGACTGTAATTTCAGGGAGGACAGTGAGAAAGAATGCGCCATTCACTCGCACTGAAGAAGTACGGTTCACTTAGATTTTTAATATTGTTGTTTTTTTGCTAAAACCAAGTTAGAATTACGACTATTTCTATTTGAGTCGGTGCACTGGGCACACGTGGATGTACACAGGTGTTCACGCGCCTGCAGAGCAAGACGAGCTCTTCCTGCAGCTGCTTTCCAGTTAGACCCAGTTGGAGATGTGTGTGCCTGGCTGTTGGGCACTA